GAGTTTATTATTATTAGATTGGCTCTTTTTTTTCTTTTTTTTTTCTTTCATGGATGCCATGTTCTTTGGAATCTTGTTTAAACCAAGTTAATGGCCTTTTAGGCTTCCTCTGTGTGAGTAGGATTTTACTTTTTGAATAGTAAGAATTATATGTCTACTTTTCTGCAAGTCATCCACTTTCTGAAATTGCTTCGTAGGAAAGGAGAAGAGTTATTGAGGTTTCAGTACCAATATTCACATATAATCTGTAGCCAGATCTTTGCCTGGCAGTGTACAAGCTAAGTTTCTCATTTTTTCATTGCAAATTGATACTGAAATACAGAGAGGAAGTTTGTGGCATGCAGACAAAGGATGGACATGTTGATGCCAGCTCTTAAATGCTGGTGCCAGTTAAGCTGTTAAAGGATACAAACCAGAGACAATAAATAAGGTGTCACCACACTCCTACTCATGTTGGCAGAATCACTGCAATAAGACATCTTTCTTGAAGCTTCATATAGCTCTGCTTCCATCAGCTTGATCAATTCTCAGGGAAGAACAGAGTTCAATCAAGTACTGAAAGTCCACTTTTCTCTATGGGCATAATTCTTTTAACATTAAATGCATCTCTCTCTGGTTTTGCTCTATTAATTTAATTAAGCTGGTTTTTTTTTCTATTCTGGAAAATGATTAGAAAAAAGGGTCGCCTCTGAGTGATGAGCTCCTCTGGGCAAGTAATTCTGCTTAATTATTTCATATCAGGTTGCTGCTAATATGACCCTTTCAAAAGCAGGATTGTTGTTAATTGGGCTTCTGAGGATGTACCTTACACCACAATCCTTTTGCAGAGGACTGTCTGACAAGAAAGCGTACAAAGAACTGGTATCTATTCTAGCATAATGAAATTAAATTCAAGTATAGCTTTGGCTAAAAGAGGAATGTGATTACTGTAACCAAAAGTAATTGTTGAAACCTCCTCCTCCCCCAATTTTGCATTGCAGCCAGAATAAATAGGTTCCTTCCTGGTTCCTACCAGTTCCTTTACAAATAGCCAATTATGGCACAGAAAAATGAAATTATTCCAATCAGCAATCAGTATTGCTCACTGGGAAAATCATCCTGAAAATTTACACATCCTGAAAATTTGCTGCATGTATTTTAGCCCCAAAGTCCAGCATTCTAACATACCCTTTTCTCCACTGATTGGGGAATCAGGATTTTCAGTTTGAGCCTCAATGCAAGCAACATAATGAGCCTGCAGAATTGGCCAGAGATTCCTCAGAACCTGACCTCAATTGTTGATTCAAGATTCTAGTTCTGTTCCCTGGAGAACAGAGGGAAGAGCTGGGGTGCTGGGGCAGACGGCAGTGGATTTTAGTGCCTAATGTTTATAAAAGCTTGAGAGGTGTGCAATCAAAAATCACACATGAAAATCTCTCTTTTATCAGAATTATCTAGATGTTTCTTTATCTTCAGATGAAACCAAAACTAACATCTTGCTTTTATATTTCACAGAATGCCACTGAAAAGCCTAGTTTAATGGCAAAACCAAGCACTGTCAGGATGCATAAGGTAAATAACAGCTGAACTAAAGAAATATGTGAGACTAACGTGATTATTAGGAAAAAAAGAACAACATATATTACACATTTTAGACCATGCTAGGAATCATATTTTCAGACATGTTTTAAAGCACATACTTTTATAAAACTGCCACTGAAAACAAGATATCAATAATGCAAAAATAGAGGGAAGCCAGTAGAAATCTGTAATGGTTCCATTTATTAATATGTATATCACAAATACAATATCAATGCATTCTTGTCGGCATGCTAGACAGAGGCCTTATTAAAAAAAATAGTTTTTTAAAAAGGTCTTAAACTTTTGTTCCCCATCCTGAAAAATATTCCACACATTCTTTTTGTTATAATTATATTGATTGATTTGATAATGAATTTTGTGGCAACTTCAATGCAAAAGGAGAATAAAACAGAAAGAAGGGCATAATAAAAAAGTTGCATTACAGCACAATCTGATTCATAATTATCTAATCAAAGAAAGCAAAATTACTGGGTTCACAATAAGCAAACAACACACCTTAGTAATGGTATTACACAAGTTCAGATTCTGAGGCAAAATGCACTGGACAAAGTCTATTGGCAAAAACACTAGGCATACAACACTGCTGAATATCAATACATTAATTTCCCTTAACCAGATTTTGCACATTTATTTTCAAGTATTCCCCAAGTTATGTGATTGGTTTTTTTTTTCTTATTTTGGGCAGTGGTTGGAAAGGGGAGATTAGATAGACTGACACACTTTAGTAAAATCTATAAACAAAATCTAGAAATTAGAAACTTGATAAATCAAAATAATATAAATTTTTCTGTATAGGCTTAATATGGATGTGTGCAACATTTATTAACCATGATGAAAGACTAATGGTGCCTTCCAGTCACTACATGCACAACCTAATCATTGCTGTCAAGGAATTAACTCTGCTAACTTGACAATGCAACTACTGTCTGATCAAGAACAAACATACAGTGCCATCATATGCACAGTTGTTGAGACGGAGTGTACAGTACTGGATACTCAATGGTTCAGGCTAATTTTTGTGGCGCAGCAGTACTTCATGGAATGGTACATTATGCATGGTACAAAGTTGAGAAAGTGTTGTCTTTAGGTGTGTATATATGTAGTTGTGTTATGTGTGCTCTAACATTCTTTAGAAGTCTTCCAAGAAAGTTCTAGTTCCTGATTGAAAACAGGTACTGTATTTCCATACTCCTGGAGATGTACAGAAAGGAAGAGAATAATTATTGTTTTCATTTCCATCAATCATAAAATTTATATTGTGTACAGGTAATCCTTGATTTATGACCACAATTGATCCCAAAATGTATGTTGCTAAGTGAAACATTTGTTAAGTAAGTTTGCCCCATTTTACAACCTTTCTTGCCACAGTTGTTAAGTGAATCATGTCATTTGTAGTAACATAGTTTTTAAGTGAATCTGGATTCCCCATTGACTTTGTTTGTCACAAGGTTACAAAATCTGATCACATAACCCCAGGACACTGCAACCATCATAAATATGAATCAGTTGCCAAGCATCTGAATTCTGATCATGTAGCAACAGGTAATGCTGCAATAGTTGTGTGAAAAATGGTCATAACTCACTTTTTTTCAGTGCCATTGTAACTTTGAATAGTTACTAAATGAACTATTGTAAATCGAGGACTATCTGTAAATAAATTTTCTTCCAGTTGATTCTGACGGACAAGTCAAGTAATTCACCAAAGAAATTGGTGAAATTTCTCTGGAAGCAAGCAACCCAATATATTGATAATAATTTATCTCACACTACAACCTCAAGGGACAGCTAATGAACATTTCTCCCTGCACTGCAAGTTTGGTGATTCCTTTAAGTAGTACTCTCTCTAACTGGGTTGACTGGAGAAGGGGGAGGCCGAACAGCGAGCTGCCTTGCCTTACACCTCTCACACAGTGCCCGTTTCACCTGTCCCTACTCAGATGGTTCCAGGCAGCCGAGATCACCGCGCTGCCACCTGAAAATGCTGTTATTGTGTTCTCTGCTGCTCAGAACTGCCCGAGAAGGGGCTGGTGAAGCAGGTGCTGCAATTCCCCCACCCCAATCCTCCGGATCTGTGATGCAGTGCTTAGTGCTACTGCTGCTATTGCACCCAGTTACCATATCTCTTTGCTGCATGACAGATCCAGGCAGATTTGGGGGGAGGGGTGGATGGAAGAGGACCAATCTCCTCTGTATGAAGGCTTTTCTCAGGACCCTAGATCTCCACTTTCTCTCCAGAAAAAGCTATTGGCATCGTTGGGATTTTGGCTAATGGAAGAAGCGTGGGATGGAAAGGAAACTTCGGAATGCAGGAGCACCGGGTTGGGAGTCTCCCTGGAGCTTGGCATCTGCCACATTACAAAGTTTTCTTTCCATCCTGTGCTTCTTTCACTAATCAAAATCCTGACGATGCAAATAGCTTTTTCCAGAGAGAAAGTGGAGATCTAGGGTCATGAGAAAAGCCTTCGTGCAGAGGAGATTGATTCTCTTCCCTTGCTCCACCTCCCCCCCAAACCCTCCTGATCTGTCATGAAGTGCTTATTGCTACTGCTGCTATTGAGCCCAGCTACCGTATCTCTTTGTTGCATGACTGATCTGGCCGGATTTGGTATGTGTGGTGTGTGTGTGTGTGTGTGTGTGTGTGTGTGCGCGTGACAAGGCAGCCTCCTTCCCTTTTGCCGCGTAGGCGCTGCTGAGAGGAACCATTAATCCAAATGGAAGGGATCCCCACTCCTCCTCATCCAATGGGCTGTTCCCAGTCAAGCACAGCAGCAGCCATTCAGCAGACCCCGCATGTCCCCTCGCTAAAGAGAAGAAGCGAGCTGTCTGCCACTCTTTGGGTCAAGCAACTCACCGTCACCGCCAGTCCGAGGGAAGGGGGAAAAACATAAAGGAGAGATGTTTAGTCCTGCCCTGCTGTGGGAGGTGTAAAAAAAAGTGGATTTGAGATCAATAAAAGCCTTACTCTTTAAGAAGATCGACCCCCCACGTGTCGCATTTTTGCCCTTCCCGGCCCTCAGAAGCACTTTTCAGGCCTCCCAAACTCTCTGCTTGCCCCATTTTTCACAAAAAACGGGGTGTGCAAATGGTTTGGGATGCTGCAGAGTGTTCACAGTAAGGGCAAAAACCTTTTTTAAAAATTTACCTCTTCAAAATCTTGGTGCGTCTTATACTCCGAAAAATACAGTAAGTGAATCACCAATTTAAATTTTTTTTTTTGCCATTTGGTAGATGTCATAATGAATAATTAGGAACTCAAGATCTAGCTCTATTTAATCCATGGAATTATTGTATTTTTCGGAGTATAAGAAGCACCTTTTTCCTCAAAAGAGGCTGAAAAACTGGGTGCGTCTTATACATCGAATACAGCATTTTTTGCCTCCTGAAGCCCCACCCCCTTCACTAAAATGGCCGTGCATAGCCTTATGAAGGCTTTCAGAGAGCACCTGGGGGCTGGGTAGGGCAGAAATAAGCAAAAATGAACCGTTTTTTGCCCCCCCAGCCCCCAGCAGCACTCTATAAGCCTCCATAAGGCTATGCATGCAGTTTTTTGAAAGAAAACAGGCCCGTTTTTGCGAAAAACGGGCTGTTTTGGGGAGGTTTTCATAGTGCAAAAACTTTTTCCTTTTGGAAAGCTCTTTAACTGATTGATGAGAATTACATTGACCAAGTGCTGTGCCAGCAGGAACAAAGTTAGGTGCTGTAGATTGTCAGCTATTTTCTTCTCCAGCACATGGATAAATACACCTGGAAATATCTACCTACCTACCTACTCACTCTCTCCCTACCTACCTACTGTATTTCTCTCTCTCTCTCTATCCTTCTATCTACCTACCTACCTACTCTCTCTCTCCCTACCTATCTATTGTATTTCTCTCTCTCTCTCTCTATCCCTCTACCTACCTACACTCACTCTGTCTCTCCCTACCTACTTACTGTATTTTTCTCTCTCTATCCCTTTATCTACCTACCTACTCTCTCTCTCCCTACCTACCTACTATATTTGTCCCTCTCTCTCTCTATCCCTCTATCTATCTACCTACTTACCTACTCTCTCCCTACCTATCTACTGTATTTCTCTCTCTTTCTATTTCTCTCTATCCCTCTAAATTACCTACCTACTTTTAAAAAAAATTTGCCTCTTCAAAACCTTGATGCGTCTTATACTCCGGTGTATCTTATACTCTGAAAATATGGTATGTAATATAGACCACATGATCAAGAAGTACTGCATTGATTTCAGTGTCTTAACAGTACATGTTATTTCTATATACAAACAACTGTTACTGGCAATGAAATTACAATACTAGAATCCCTGGAAATGTTGGACTAAGCCATTGTTCTCTGAGCTTGGTTGTTTCCTTGCAGACATTTAATTGCCCAAATTAGGTAACATCATCATTGTTAGTGGTGTTACAGGACTAGCACTGATGATGTTAACTAATTTGGATAATGAAATGTCTGCAAGCAAACAACCAAACTCATAATATGTTCTATTATATTTCAGTATACATAATATTATTTTCCCAGTTTCTACTTTCCACTTCTTTTTTTCTAACTCTTATTAGAATAATCACCATCTTAAAAATATTCTATGTCTACCCATCATCTCTTGCCCTTTTTAGAATTTCAACTCTTATTAGCTTTTTGGTGAATCTGTCCTGCTTCTCCTGTGGTATCTTGTAACTCCTTTTGTCATTTTTATTTAATCTAAATATTTTGGAATGTTTACTGCTGCATTGGGGTCCTGCTCAAGCTTCTGTTCTACTATGAAGGCCATGGAACAGCTTCCTTGCAGTGCATATTATCATAGAAAGAAAGCATGCCTAGCTATGGTAAGGATCCAATTTCTCTGTGAATAGGCATGATTTATACATAAGCCAGTGGTGGGATTCAAATAATTTAACAATTGGTGAACTCAGGGTCAGGTTGGTTGTCGTGGGAGGCATGACCCATCCCCGTCCTCCAACTCCGCTGCACATTCGGGATGGCTGACCTGACCCTAGGCAAACTGGTTGTTAAATTACCTCCCTGCTGTCAAAGTGGATCCTAGGCACTGTGCTGCAATGGAGAAATATGAAATGAAGCAACCAGCGCAAGGGAAGGAAGCCATTTTCCCTCTTTCGTCTCTCTGCTCCTCCTTCTCCCCTTGCGCCAGCCATTCCATTTCATGTTTTTTCATTGCAGCAAAGTGCTGCACTGCGGAGCTTGCCCCACCCACCATCATCCAGATGCCATTGCTTTACCCCAAGCATTTCTTTACTCACTTTATTTCCAGCTCTATCACATTTCTCTGTTGCATTTCTCGCCATCATGTGCAGGGAAATAAAAGTTTGTGGGACTAAAAAAAAAGTTCAAACAATTCCAACTTTGTGCTAAAAAAAGGTCTCACAAGGTTGGAATTGATCGATTTAACTTTTTTTTAGTCCCATAAACTTTTGTTTCCCTGCACATGACAGTGAGAACCATGATGGAGAAATGCGACAGAACTAGAAATCAGATTAGCAAAGAAATGCTTGGAGGAAGCAAGGGCATCTGGGCGCCAGGCGCTGAAGTGGGTTCATCTGTCTCCAGCAGCTGCCCAGGCCCGCCGCAGGGAAGGCTGGCATCTATTGGCACTTAAACGCAGCAGCATTCCAGCAGGATGACGGCTCACGTCAACACCCTCCCTGACCCTTTGGCGCTCCACCGGTGCTTTGGCCCCGGGCTGCTGTCTTATATGCAGCTCCTGCTCCACCCCTGCTGCCTACTGTAAAGTAAGACAGTTTTCGCCTGAGTGACATGATCAAAGACGCTGCATCTCTGTTTAGTTTCTGTCGCTCCTCTCTTGGACTTTTGGGGAGGATTTTTTTCACTCACTAGGAAGGAAGTTGAACAAAAGCCAGACGTGTTCCGGAAAACACAGATTTTCTGGAACACATCTAACCGGTTCGCCGAACTCAGCAAAAAATTAGATATTAGTTCTACTGAACTGGTGCGAACTGGCTGAATCCCACCACTGGCATAAGCTTATGCTGAACAAAAATACTCCTGGCTAAATGGGAATCAAATGGGTAGAAAGTCAAATCCAAGAGTACTCTAAAATTGTATCTTTGGGGTTTTTTAAAAGGAGTCAAATGAATTTTTTTTAGATCAATAGTTCTAGTGGCCAAGAAAGCTTGTCTGGATAAATTTCAACTTTTAAACCTACATCTAATCCATTACAGGTAGTCCTCAACTTAAGCAGTTCTTTTAGTGACCATTCAATGTTACCATGGCACTGAAAAAAGTGCCTTATGATTGTTTTTTGCACTTATAACTGTTGCAGAATCCCTATGATTACATGATCAAAATTAAGACACTTGGAAACTGATTCATATTTTAATGGTTGCAATGCAAAGGTCATATGATCACCTTTTGTGCCCTTCTGACAAGCAAAGTCAATGGGGAATCCAGATTCACTTAACAACCGTGTTACTAACTTAGCCACTGCAATGATTCACTTAACAACTGTGGTAAGAAAGATTGTAAAATGGGGCAAAATTCATTTAAGAACTGTCTCCTTAGCATCAGAAATTTTGGGCTCAATTGAGGTTGTAAGTTGAGGATTACCTGTACTGATTTTAAATATGGGTTTAGGGTTGCTAAGTTTTATAATGATGGGAATGAGACCACACATTCCAGAATATCAGCAGAGGTAGTATTTTAAAAACTACTTTTGTCTTTTAATTTAAAGTAAAACTATGGAAAATTATATTACAGGATAGTCCTTACAGAATGCTTTTTGTTCTGCTTTAACATTAATGCAAATTATTAATGCTATTCAGCACTGAATGTCTTTTCATTGATATAAACCACCCAGAATAACATTGGCTGAGGCTGATGGGAGTTGTGCTGATTGCAATTAAAAGGCTATGCTGGAGAGAGCAGCTATAAAATCTATCTTTCTTCAAGTTGAAAGCAAAGCATTTGCCTGCCTCTGAAAAAAGCATCTTGTATGCAGCTGTGCAGAATCTCACCTTGTTACACCATCTCATACTGATTGGCAGTAATAAACCGGGACAGACAACACGCCAACAGCATGCCAATCAGCTGCAGAAAAGAAAGGAAAAGAATCATGCATTTAATCCAGTGTCATGAAATGTACTGAGTCTGCAAAAAGGATTTTAGATTTTTAAATTTGTGGAAATATGTAAAATGAAATAATATAAAATAAAGTCTACAGCCAAAATAAAAACATTAAATTAATGCAATCAGGAAAGAGGCAGTTCTAATAATTTATTTGATACACCTCTCTTTTTATTTCCCCCCTCTTTTTAAGACCACACTGATTTCACTGTATTTGCCTCTAAGCAATTTATCTTTTCGAGGAAGTGGGAGTGGTATTCAAGCCATGTTGTATCAGCTTTATTTTTTTCAGAATGAAGCATTGTATTGGAAAAAGGCACTAAGAGTTCATAAGATTAAGTTTAGTCTAGTAAAATACAAGGCTAGAAACTAGGAAACTGAGGCATGAAAGTTGCTTGGGTGATTTTGGACCAATCTGTCTCTCTCAGTCCATATCACAGTGTTTTTGTGGGGGGAGGGTAAAAAGGAGGTGAAAGAAATATTAGGTAAGGGTGCCATCTTGAGTTGTTTATAGAAATAATACAGAAGAAAAAATCTAATGTCTATCTTGGTGGGGAAGATGCATTTTAATCCTAGAAGTTCCACATATTGTTATTATCTTTCATTTTTCAATAGGCTATTGCTTAATTTTGGAAGTGCAAGTTCAGGGAATTCTACTAAGTAAAGTAGAATTAAGGTTTTTGATATGGACCATAGATTGTTGATCAATTGATGGAATGAAAAAAGCTCTGTCTATTATATGCTTACTGGCATATGTACAGACAAATACAAATGTCAGGTTAAATATTGTTTATATGCCTGCAGGTAAGCAGTTGATGAAAACCGAATGGTGATATGGAGCCTTCTCAATAATTGCAGCTATGCAAAGTTGATGCCTTTTCTTCTTCACGTTGTTCCATTTTCCAGGTTTTCTTAGAAATTCAAAAAAGGTTTAATAATTGCAGAGAGAATTGAAAAGAGATATGAAATTATAGATCAAAATACAAAAAGTATGGGGACAGCGATGAAGTTTGAGGACAGACCTGAAAAAATAACAGAGACATAGGAAAGTGATAAGAAAATTGTTGACACTGACAGCAAACTGAGAGTGGAGGGAAATGACAAGTGTAAAATACGGAAAGGAGAAATTGATGAACCGAAACTTCATTTTGGATGTCAGAAAATAGATGAAGAAAGGAGAGAAAATTTGGCAGAAATAATGAGAGTAAATCTCAGCAAAAGGACTAATGATAACAAAAGCGAAATTGATAAAAAGAGCAGATAAAGGGCTTCAAATTCTTATAAGACATGCAATGAACAACAAGTTCTTAAGAGAAGTCCACATAAGACTT